GCAATATTGTTTGTTGTGTATATATATTTTTTTACAGACAGAAACTAGTGTCGTTATAGATGGAATTCACTTGAATGAGAAGATCAAATTTCGGGTGAGTGAGGTCTTGTTTGTGCTCGAAGGGTGGTTTGTAAGTCTGAGTATTTGCATTTCTTCTCTGCCAACTGACAAATTTTCTTAAATGTCGTTATAATAATGGCGGAACTTTTACAGTGCAATTTGTTGGCTATTTTAAGTATCAATATGATGGTGTTGATGATGATGATGATGATGATGATGATAATAATAATAATAAAAAGAAGAAGAAGAATTGTTAATATTATTGTTATCATTATATAATTAATTATAATGCCTTAATAAATGTTTCAGAGTAGGCGGATATCCATCCCTTCTCGGTAAAGAGGCAGCTGGGAATTTACTAATTTTTCACTGTTGCCTTTGTTAAAGGCCCATGTTCACCCAAACGGCTTTGCGCGCTTGTGTTTTTGTTTTGAAACGATTCTTTTGTCAAATGTAGTGTTTTGATTGGCTTCCACTTTTGAAGAGCGTTGCGTGACGATACTAACTGAAAAACTACTGCGAGGGAGACTAGCTTTTTTCACGCTTAACCGAAGCTTAAAGAGACAGTATCAAATTAAAGAGACCAGTAAGACTTTAATTCTTTTCCAAATGGAGGAAGATATATCGCCGACTTCGTTAAATGTCACCGCAGAAAGCAATTCAAAATTTAAACTGGTAGTGAATGCGTATGGATGCTTTGAGAGTGAGATGAAGACATTGAAGGTCATAAAATTACGAAACGTCTAAGCACCAGATGAGATTTTCCTGAAGACCGATTTGACTGTGAAATGTTTTTATTCCTCAATCTATTATTTTGTGTTATTATTCATTCAAAATATTTCCCCTATTCTTATTGGCTAAAAGCACACGTTTAATTCACCATAATCAGTTACTGATAACCAAATTTGGAAGAAATCTGACTTTAACGAGGAAATGACGTCAAAAATGCAGCGTTTTCGCTGCTTAAGGCACCGTTAACCGAGAAGACCTGGGGACGAGGTTGAGTTGTTTTGTTTGTGAACTTGAAAAAATGGCGGACATTTCACTCGTTTCAAGAGTAAGAACTAGGCGAAAAAATAGCTAAAAACATGGCAAGAACAGCGAGAAGACAACTCGAAAGGCAACATCTGCTATTTGGAGAATATTTGCGGAGCTGGACAAACCTAAACGTCCACTATCGAAGATGATCAATGAATCGATGAAGGTAAGCATGTTTTAGCTATGTTTTTAAACTAGGAATTATTTTGAATGAATAATAAGACAGTTATTGAATTCGGCTTTCGTATCATATGAAGAATTATGGAGATCTCGGAGGGTGTTATCCGCCTCGGCCTACGGCCTCGACAGATAACACCCTCCTCGATCTCCATAATTCTTCATAAGATACTCAGCCTCATTCATTAACTGTTAATTAATTCTTAGGAAGCTTAGGTATGTGTTCTCGAAAGAATAAGCGAGAAGTTGGGTTTGCAGAGCGACGAATCAGCACTGTGTACAGTCGTGTCCCTGTAATCGCTATGTTACACTTTCTTTAGGTTTTGCTGAGGATTGGTTTGCTAATAATAGTTCTCGTTACTTTATACGCCAGACTATAAGTTTGCGTTAAGGATATCACTCGCTTCATAGGTTAAATTAAATAAAGCATTGTTGACGTTAGATTGACTCGCTTGTTTTGCTTTCAACTGATTTCAATGGGACCTTTGTTTACAACTGAACATTCGATGTAGAAAGAACTCGGCAAACACGGTGTCTGTAGAATTTACACCCAAGAGTTTCTTTCCCATTTCTCCAGAGATTAAAAAAACGATGCACGGAGACGGATGTACTTCGGCGACCCCCGTCGACGCGGACGTCCAACCGTACGTTTCGATGGCGCTGGCATCGAAAGTGCGTCAGTGAAACAAACACTCACAGAAACAAAAAGGCTCGATACCAGACCAAACTATCCAAAAAGATGTAAAGAAAAATACCAAAAGACCCTGTTTAGACTTTCTTTTAAACCAGATTTAGCGAACTGTGCAAGATTAACAAAGATTGACTCTACACACTGAAGGCAGCGTTTTTCAACTACGCGAAATGTTTTTTTTTCTGGAGTACAGGGCGCGCCATGCATCTAGGTGAACATGGGCCTTTAAACTAATGTTTACCCTGTTCGTTCCTCCATTCATTTCTTTATCCAGCAAATTAATAAGCATTGAGTATTGAGTGACAGACCTAACTGGTACCAGAAGTACAATGTTTTATCAACGGAAGATTTTACTGGGCATTTTATTACTATATCGTTTCGTACTACACGATGGTGTAGTACTCTTCATATAAAATAGCCTAATGGTTGATAACAACAGTGTACACACTGATTATAACTGAAATTTAAAATGCGGTTACTACGGATACAACGCTGTTTCTATGGGTTCTTTTATGTAACAGAAGAGGACTTGAAATTTTTCAGCAGAAATTTGCTAGCGTGGCTACAAGAAAATACAAGCTTGTTGCGCTTGTTAAGAGTGGCTAGATGGGGCTTACAGATTATAAAATATTTCCTCCACAAACATAAAAAATTACATCATTTGGAAGAGGGGTTGTAGGCGATACCCTGCTTCAAAATCTTCCAGGTGGTCCGTAAATTTATGTTAAATGGTAAATGTAAATAAGCCGTTTGTGAGCTAAACGGCAATTATTACATATTTGACTACAGTGTTATTTTTAAAATGGATGTATTCAGAATCTTGACCATGGTATATATATAGCCTTTTTCCTTCCCAGGTCACTCCTGTTTATGACGCGTCCGCCGTAACGGGAACTACTGCTAGGATTTCAATTGTTCGAAGAGAACTAAGTAAGAAATTTGACGGTTGCGTGTAATTAGTATCTAGATTGAGCTTGGGCTATAAGCGAAACTTCCGTTTATATATCTATAATAAAAACAATCAAATTTGAGCAAACAAGCTTTAAGCCACTCCAAAGAAATTTTCAAATCCCTATTTAACTGCCTTCGCGATCGGCATCAATTTACTTTAAGAGGGAGAGGTTAAATGACTAATAGACAGATAAATTAATTCTTGAAAAATTTTCACGTGAAACTAACTTGATCGCGGATCCGTTCACCCAGCTTTTTGAGTTGGCTGAACCCGTGGCAAAATTCAAGATAAAATTAAAAACCAAATCTTTAGGATGTAAATTATGAGATAAGCTTTTTTAGAGTTCAGCTAAATTCAATTCAATTGCATTTAACCCCAACAGCTGAATTAATAAGTTGACTCAAACTGTAAAATATAAGGCTCATGGAAAGTATGGCGTTTGTCCTAGTTCTAATGAATTTATTTATTTTTTCTGTTCATGAAAGTGTTATGACTAGAAAGACAAAATTTCACAACTAGAATCGAACCCGGGCTAAGCTCTCCATTACGTACCAAACTCTGAAAAAGTCAGCGCATACTATGGAATGTCTTTCATAATTGGTTCATCTATTATATGAGATTTTAGCGCTTTCCCGAACTTTTAATGAGACGTAAGCTCAACTTTGGAACTTGGCTTGCTGCTTTAATTTCTAAGACTAGTATTATGTACCTTTATTGTAGCTTTGCCTAGTTACCTATGACCGAATATTAATCGACCATTATAAATTGAGTCCCTTGTCTACAGGAGGTAAATATAACGTCATGGCGTCGTAAACTCCAACATTATTGAAATCAAAGGGTTTAGTTTTATCCTTTGTCTCCCGATTGTCACTTTAATATTGATCGCGAAGTTTCGACCTCACACTGCAGGTCCTATTTACTGACTCGAACTATTTGCACCACTGTGGCAGTTAGTGATTGGTGTATCACAAACTACGCTCACGGTTAGTGTGTTTCGATCCAAAGCATTGTTGGCATTGTGAGAAGAAGAAACTGATCCCTCAGCGGTCCGCTGTGGTAGAAGTCGGTTGTCATGTTGTCTGATTGTAGGCATCCACGCTTCAGGAATCTTAATTCCACCGTCCCTGTTGATGTTGTTAGGGTGAAGTCTTATGTGGATAACCTCCTTAACTCTACGAGAGTATCAGTGAGGTCTCGGTCAATAAATTAACTTCGTCCCAGAGTGGATGATACGCGGTCTTATTGGCGTGTTCGGAAACGGCCGAAGTTTTATACAGTGGTGTAACAATCAAGTCTTTCCAAATGTCAGGGAAACATCCGGATTCGTTATGCAAGTTACATGCATAAAATGAAAGCTCTATTACAGTAGACATAAAATGAAAGCTCTATTACAGTAGAGCCCGTGGTGAAATTCATTTCGCAATGCAATTTACCAATGGGTTTATATGGCACTTTTAAAATGCCCTCTTGAAGGCTGGATTTTATGTGCTCAGAAGGCAAAAACGAGACCCCCCCCCCCCCCACCCCCCTGAAACTACAAAACTAAAATTCCCAGAAGTGAGCCAAAGTGGTCTTTCAAATAAATATTATCTCATCACACCCAACTTCTGTGCCAAGTTTCAGCCAATCGGTTGACCACAACTTTTGGTCTCTGGGACACTTTCTCAGAGAGTGACACATAAGACTTCACCCTAACAATATCAACAGGCACAGTAGAATTGAGATTCCTGAAGCGTGGATGCCTACAATCAGACAACATAACATCCGACCTCTACCACAGAGGACCGCTGAGGGATCAGTTTTTTCCTCTCGCAATGCCAACAACACTTTGGATCGAAACGCACCAGCCATGAGCGAGGTTTGAGATACACCAATCACTAACAGCTACGTTGGTACAAATAGTTCGACTCAGTAAATCGACACTATCGCCTGATGAGGACCTGCAGTGTGCGGTCGCGTCACGACCAATATCAAAGTGACAATTGTGAGACAAACGATAAAACTAAACCCTTTATAAACATTATCCACCATGATTATTATCTTCCATCACATTATTGATACATTGTTTTATTACCAGAAGCGGAAGGGGCCCGTGGCAGCCTGAGTAGTTTTACGCCTGGTGCAATTGCTGGACTAGTGATTGGTTTTCTGCTTGCGGCCCTTATTTGCATGTTCTTTATTTGGCGTCGCTGGAGAGAACACAAGATTTTAAAGAAGAAAGGTCTTATTCTAGGGTAAACAATATTTTGTCTTAATAATAAAATTAGACGTGATATGAGGGAATATTTTGGGGAAAATCGAAGGACGGTAAAATTAAGAAATTCAAGATTGTTAAAAAAAAACGTTTTATTGGGTAATGCTAGCAAAAAGGCTCGTAACTAAGCAACAGTTAATTGGTGACTGAGTTTTTTTAATATAAATATGAGAAAAACATTTTTTTTTTCCTAAACCAGCTCAGGATTTCTTGATGGACCTCTTTAGACTCAGATTCTTCATAGTTTTTGTTTTGTGTAATGACTCAACAAAAGGCAAACTGATATTTATGGTTTACTTTAAGAAATGTGGAGTCATAATTAATCTTCTGATCTTAAACTGAATCAGTTTACTTTTAATTGTCTCCAGCTATTAAAGCAAAAATTATAAGCGGGGCTGTTAAAAGTTTCAGTGGTCGCCAAACAAAACACTTATAACGTTTTCAAACAATTGCAACAGTAAATTCTTATCTCTCTTTTTTGCAGGAAAAACGGCTTTATTATAGATCATTGGGAGGTAGATGGTGACCTTGTTACGCTTGAATATGAGATTGGAGAGGGAGCCTTTGGTAAGGTTTACAAGGGAACTCTAATCAAACCCACCAGCTCTTTGCCCCAGAAATTTTTTTTGAAGCCGTGGAAGAAAACTGCTAAAACTGTCAGTGGAAGTGAGACATACGTAGTTGCGGTGAAAGTGCTTCATAGTGAGTATCAATTGTTCCTGGTATTGTAAATAATATATCCTGAATAGTATCTTACAACCCTTTGTAAAAGCATAAGCTGAATAACTTCAACTTGACTGTCAATGTATTTAGCACAAAGTTACTAGTTAAGGACACCATTCTTACGTCTCCTACTGGAGACGGGACCGCCAGTTTACATGGTCATCCGGGCGACCCAAAGGTCTAGCCAATTGTAGGCAAAGTCAGTACCTTCATTTCTCAGTTACTTTAAGACTCAGAGTATTGGTCCGACCCTGGGAATCGAGCTCGCGATCTCCCGCTCGGCAGTTATATAAGCACTCTGCTGAATGAGCTTTTAACCGGCTCTGTTAATACTTTCCTCAGGCTCCACACTGTCTAGCTAAAAGCCTCACCGATAAAATCGACCCACAACCGACCCAGAGAAAGACATCCATCATTTTCTCTTTGCCATTAGATATCCCAGATGAAAGTGTGCGGCAAGACTTTCTCGACGAAATTCAGTTGATGAAGGCGGTGGGGTCACACAAGAATATTGTCAGCATGGTCGGCTGCTGCACTCTCGAGGAACCTATGTTTTTGTTAGTTGAATATGCCCCGTACGGTGATCTCCTACACTACCTCAGAAAACATAGGAAAACGGTATTTGTCCGCTTAAATACTTACATACATACTTATATTCCATCCCTAATCAAGGCTTTTCAGAAGTACAGACAAACATATGTTATAACTGTCTTACTGTCTTAAAACCAAATATAAATTACACTAGACATAGAATATTTACAAGCTAATCTCAGGTAGGTTAATAATTATAATTTTATAATTACCTAAATAGCCTAAGATATGTAATGCTAATTGTTAAGAAATTCTTCAATCAGATTTTTTCGCATTGCGTTCTTAAAAGCGTTATCGTCAGCCAGTTGTAAAGTTTGAGCCTTGAGCAAAGTTTGAGCCTAGTAACCCCTTGGTAGTAAAATCAAAGTTTACCTGCAGTAGTTGTTTTAAGTAGGGGGATATTAGTTTATTTATGTTTTGAAGTGGCATTACCTAAGCCAGGGAAAATCTACGGGGAAGGAGGGGATACTTCCTTAATTGACACATCCAAGTTCCTATATTGAAAAACGTGGACGTTCCAATACGAAACGTCAAGGGGGATATAAAAAAGCAATTTTTATCACCGCTGTGTTTTATTATGGATATGGGATTACGATCTTTTGGACCAAAAAAATTCCTTATTAGAAAAAATTCTCCGATGCCAAAAGAAATTTTGTTCTTCTCAAAACAGTAACATCCAAGCTTTCAAGGCTCTTATGAACAAGCTAGTCAATGTATTGCATGTAAAGGAAACGATCTCAGTGTAATATGTACGGCACCTAATTTCTAAAAACATTTCGAGTATATTACTTAGCATAAATAAGTACATTCTCCGTTTTCACATCTTCCACAATACACTTTTTGTCCCTCCCCCCCCCCCAAAAAAAGTAATAAAAATTTCTCTTACTTGAGTAATAGAGTTGTCCCAAAACAAATTGAAAACAATGCTTGTTTTATTGGCAAAATATTGGCGAGTAATCAATGTGTATTATGGGAGATAAAATGAAGTGCCGAATACGGTCATATCCTAATTCTTTACGTCTTCCAGGCCTTCCAAAAGTCAAACAAAGACCTTGGATGTTCAATCACATTCACTACATCAGATGATGAGATAAACAGGATAAAAGCTAGCGGGGAAACCAATAGCTTGAAAATGGAAGATCAAGAAGAAAAAGAAGACTACAACGAGGAGATTTTGACCCATGGAAATCTAATGGCGTTTGCTTGGCATATCTGCCAAGGGATGGTAAGCAAGCCACCAGTCTTAAGCTACTTTTCTTGAGAAAAATGTACGTCCAGTGAGGAAAAAAAAACAGGCTTCTCCTTCTAGGTAGCACAAATGGCTTGCTTCCGGCCGACTAACACTCAGAGTCTTTAAACAACCGAGGAGAAAGTGCTAATTTTGCTCTGACGTCTGCAAATGGTTGAAACTTTTTTGATTTGTAGTCTCGGATAGGCTACAGTATGACGATAAACTCAGGACCCTTTCGCGCGGTCGTTCCACTTAATCTGACTTTGCACAACGTTTAAATTTCTGACGTAAAATTGTTTTTTCCTTGTGTAAGGAATACCTGGCGAGAAAGGGATACGTTCATCGCGATTTGGCGGCTAGAAATGTACTTATTGGAGAAAATAAGATTGCAAAAGTGTCAGACTTTGGACTGTGTCGACACGTGTATGAAGGGAAAGTTTACCATGGCAAACGAAACAGGAAACTGCCCTTGAAATGGATGTCAACAGAAGCTATCTTTGACCACACATTCACTACGAAGAGCGATGTGTAAGATAACTCATCAATTAATGCATGTAAACTAAATATAGCGCTTTTCGTAAATGAAGAAAGGAAAAAACTAATTCATATACACTTTCAACGCAAAGTTCAAATGAATAAAATGATCAAATAGGGCGAGCTTATACTCTGCTGACAGAAGTTTCTTTTCGACGTGGGTTTTAACTTTAACGAAGTCGTTCACGTTGCTGGCATTCGCGTAGTTGGCTTGTTTACGACTCCGCATACGCTAAGAGTCAAGCCGGAAAGAAACCTCAGTAGTATAGTAGTGATGTTTACTCCTTTTTGGGGAGGATCTCATTACTTTGCGATCAAATGCATTAACGCCAATGACGTCATAGCCATTAGTCTTTAACTCATGTGTAAAATGCGGTGGAATCTCATTTATGTAAGGTCAGGTATACGCGCTATAGGGGTTTTTAAACCCCATTAGACAGGTGTTCCAGTTACTAATATAATAATAGGACGATTAATTGAGATTGACTAAAAGCTAAGAAAGTGTAAATTCAACGTGTCGATACCTCGTGACGTAATAACTCAAGGTTTATTTCCTGCTGCTTTCGTTATCCATCGATCACAGACAACTTATTGTCCTGCTTCCGTTTTACGGTTCTCTGGCTGTGACTTTCCCTAGAAAAGAAATGAAAAAAAGGTTTTTATAGCAGTACCGGTGTATTATGATCGTCCCGTGATGGACTTAATCATCTTAACTTATTCACATAAAGGATTTTGCAAGTGAAGTGCATGCACCGTCAATCCCAATTATTGTAAGCTATACATAAGGCATCACCCAGTTCCTTTAACAAAAACATACCTATCTTTTCAATGACAAATCTAATTTCGTTCCTCTTATTTCTTACAGATGGGCCTTTGGAGTAGTACTCTGGGAAATAGTGACTCTAGGTACGCTAACAGCTAAATATATCTGTATACAAATTCGAGTAAACAGTAACTTTAAACATGAAGAGCGTTCTCGAAAAATATGATATTGACGGAGTGGTAAACATTTACGCCTATTTTTATCATACTAAATAAACTGAGACAACGTAGTATTGGCCTACTCAGCACGTGATCATTTTTCGTTTACGCGCAAAAATCATTTGAACCATTTTTGGAGGAATTGCGTGACACTGTTGATATTTGCCCTGTTGTTGCAATATTGCCAAATTAAATACATAAGTAGTATTTGTGCCAGTTCAAGCACAGGGTCCAGAGGAGTTTCGTGTGAATAAATGAATTACTTATTTAAAGTCTCACCTTGAAAAATGTCTATACCTGTCGCTTAGCACGACTAATTAGCCCAATGGGATCTTTATGAATCTACTGTAAACGAATCTTCGCTTCCCCAATTCTTATCTGACCCTGATCGACTTTGTTGTTCGCCGTTTTGAAAATCAATAACCGCAAGCCCGAAGGGCGACCGAGGCACGAAGTGCCGAGTAAAAAAAGGACAAGCTTTCCGTATTTTATACTGTAAGCCGATCTTGCGAGCCCTCAATCTCTTGGTTTGTGGTCTGTAGAATGTGTAACGAAACTGTAACGCGATCAAAATAACCCATTTTTCAGAGGTTTTCGACGGGTTTTGATGTTCTAACGAAAAACACATCTCCTCTAGACCGTGTGGTTCAAGTGCAAACTCTGAGATCTGGGAAAATATTGACTTTTTAAAAGTTTTTCCTAAAAAAAATGGCTATTCGGTGTTTATCGCCAAATGCCCAGTTTTCTCTGAAGAAAGCATGGCAAGCCCTTTTTTCTAATAATTGGATTTTAATAGCCCTTAGTATGATCCACTTGTCTTACAAAGTCATTACTGGTCTTACAAAAAGGCGTTTTTGAGCGACGCAGGTCAACCGGGAGTGGTCTTTTTTGCATTTATGGGCAGTAATCTCACCCAAATGTAGGGAAAACCGTTTCTGCAACTGTGAAGACACTTTGCAATACAAATCTGGTAGCGTCAAGGTCTCAATTCCTGTTGACGTGCGTCGTTCAAAAACGCGGGCCTTTGCTTACAAACTCCCTAAAATCTTGGGAAATACTTCCCTGGTATCACTGGGATCCAGCCGTCTTTAATACTGACTCCTGAATCATCATATCAGGTGGGACGCCATACCCTACCATAGAAAGCAAAGAGCTGTTTCGGCTGCTAAAGAATGGGTACAGAATGGAAAAGCCAGACACTTGCAACAAAGAGCTGTAAGTCATGACATTGATGATGCAGATATTGAACTTAAATAACCATTCAGTTACCAACAGCTAGTAGTTGATTCTTGTGTACTTGGTAAATTTCTTTTACTCTTTTTTTTTGTTACAGTTACAAAATGATGCACGACTGTTGGCAGGATAACCCTGAAAATCGTCCCACCTTCACGCAGATTCGAGAGACCCTGGAGACTATAATGCAGAAGGACAATCCATATCTAGACCTGACTGCTGTGGAACAATCGCACGTCGAATACAACGTGCGGTGTTTTGACAGTGTGGCGGAGGAGTCCGACGATGATCAAAGAGACGACAATGTTGAAGTGGTGTGCCACGAAGGTATGCAAGATCGATTATATTTCCATTCCCTTGAACTGACTTACTGCACATTGCTTTTAATCTAATTGTATATTCCTTCTTTACAGATTCAGGTGGAGAAGTAAAGGTGAACATAACGAAAAATGATCCACAGTCTAGTAATTTGTCAGTGCATGGATAGCAACATCAAAAGCGAAACCCAGCTGCGAACAGGGAGTAATAATTGTGCAAAGCACCATCAAGATCCTGAAATCTACGGCTTATTTAATACACTGGAAACGTGTTTTTGAGGATCATCTTCACAAGTTGGATAATCCACTTGTCACTGGTTAAGTCTTACGAAAACCATTCCCGGACGTTATCCAGGTAGTTATTCATCTAGTGGATAAATATGGTTATCCACTGTTGAAGAGCTACCGCCTGTTTTAGTGACTCGCCTTATGTAGGGTAATGCGGATATCGGAATCCAGAAATTTTTTTCTTTTGGAATCCGGAATCCTGGACGGAGACCCACCAACGATCGTATTCCTGATTGCAAGTTCCACTGACAAGGAGTCTGGTATCCAATACTTGGAATCCGGAATCCACAGTCTGTCTTGGAGTTACCTTAATTGGGGCCGAAGGGGCTAAAAGAACAGCGCAGTATAAAAGAAGATAATTCTTACGCAAATACTTAAAATTGCATGGATTAAAAATAACCTAGTATACACCGTATTCACAAATGGCGGACACGCGGGAAAAACTGGTGCCTAGTCATGAAAGCGAGGCGTTGGAGGGTAAACAAAAATTGCAAATGAAGACTTTCAGTGAACTTGCAGAGTGTTTAGCACGGATTCCACCTAAAATAACTTTGTACGGACTTCTTTTTAAATACAATTACGTGGGATGTCTTCTGCTTTTAATGTTTAGTATTGATTTGCTGTTTGCAATCAAAAGGGACGCGTATATCTTCAAGGAAACAGGATGATTTTGTAGGTTTCCGAACATCAGAAGCTCGACAAGTGGGCGATGGTTGGAGAAAAGCGGCAAACATGTTGGCCCAAACTTCACATTGAAACCGAGTTCGAAAGCCAGCTCACTGCAATTCGGTAAAACAGAAATATAAACAATGCAAATCTTTGAGGCAAGAAAAAAAGAAATAAGCGATGGATATATGGCCTACTTGTTAACGCAAGAGACGTGTGCCATTGAACAAAACAGTTCAAAAAATCGAGATGGAAAAAAGGAAGACAGGAAAGAAGCGGTGACTGAGGTTTCGATGAAGTTATGTTTGGTGCTTATTTGCCAGGACGTTATTCTCTGGTCTTTATCGATGAAGGACATCAATTAGAACTATCTTTTTGGTATAAATGCAGGAGCGATCGAGTGGAGTACGCTCAAAATTTCAACTTGTTACTCGGCAGACTCGGTAAGCCGGCCACATTTCATTTCAGCGAGTAATGTTCCTATTTCTTATCTTTGGCTGTTAAGAGTTCTAACTTCATGTTCCATAATATTTTAAAAGTGAAGAATACATAAATAAATAAAATGATGGTCTTCTTAAACGGATCCAGACTCGCATTTAATGATTCGAAACAGAAGCTTGCCGTGTTCAGTCCTGGCACAAACATTGCCTTAAAAGTTTAACCTAGTAAAATGTGAGCTTTATACCACTTTTTTATATAATTACCAAGAGCTCTCCGAGATAATGCCGTAAAGGAGACCAGGCAAATAGCAAGCCATAAGATTCACACACTAGAGCTTCTAGTTTTCATAAAATTATTTTATTTCGCAATGACAAAGAAATCAAAAGATTTTAAATTTGCACTGAATTTGCTAATCTCTGCCAACGTACCTCTAACAATTCACTCCAAAGCGACGGAATTAATATCATCCAAAGGAAGTTGTAAATACAGACATACGCAGATATGTGTAAAATGACACTGACATGAATGAATGAGTCTCGTGAATGAATCTTTCACCCGCTCTCGACTTGACCTGTTTTGAGTAATGGCGGAGGTCTCTTCCGTTGACAAGTAGGCCATATATCCGTCGCTTATTTCTTTTTTTCTTGCCACCAATGTCTGTTTTTACTTCTGTTTTACAGAATTAAAGTGAGCTGGCTTTCGTATTCGGTTTCAGCGTGAAGTTTGGGCTAACATGTTTGCCGCTTTTCTCCAGTAATCACCCACTTGTCGAGCTTCTGAGGCTTCGGCAACCTACAAAATCATCCTGTTTCCTTGAAGATATACGCGTCCCTTTTGACTGCAAACAGTAAATCAGTACTAAACATTAAAAGCAGAAGACATCCCACGTAATTGTATTTAAAAAGAAGTCCATACAAAGTTATTTTAGGTGGAATCCGTGCTAAACACTCTGCAAGTTCACTGAAAGTCTTTATTTGCAATTTTTGTTTACCCTCCAACGCCTCGCTTTCATGACTAGGCACCAGTTTTTTCCCGCGTGTCCGCCATTTGTGAATACGGTGTATAAAGACTGAATATAGCCTTGACTGTGTTTTTTTTATGTAGCTTATTCCGGTTGACTCCTATGAGAGACGTGTTAAGAGAAACTTTAACTAATAAATGACAAGATTGCTTGGATATCACCAATGTTTGGCTGTCCAAGCCTGATACTTGATTCGTAAATTATGAAAGACAAAACATTTTAATTCAAGTTGAGATATTAGTTAACTTGAAAGTGGCACTCGGAGTTAATAAGAACTTGAGGTTCCTAGAGAAAATGTGCAGTCTATAAAGATAAACTCTAATGGTCTCTAATGTCACTGATATTTCAGATAAAGTAGTTATAATTGAAATCTGCTCTAGGCAAGTCACTATACTCTTATTAGAGACCTGTAGCATCAGGTTTTTTGATGGAAACCGCAAATCCCAAAATATCACGTGACCACGGCCTTGCGGTCACTTTTGCAAATTGCAGTTCACGTTTGAACCGCAGGAAGGGCTTCCAGCGGAAGTGATTTACGGCAAGGATTTTTTTGCCACTAAAAATTGTACAGATTCTTGTTTTACGGCACGAATTAGCTTTTTATATCCGTTTGCGATGTGTTCGCTGGATTTTTGATCTCGAATCAATGAATTATTTCTGTTTTTTGGACGATAAAAGTGATGCACTTCGACTTGATGAAAAACAACATGGCGGCACTAAACAATGAACGTGTAGTTCAAATTGATTTTATATTCCTTTCTGCCATACTAACATAAGAAGGTATTCTGTTCCAATCCAGAGTTAAATTTTTTCTATCTTGTTACTGAATTCATCCTGCACAAAACTCAGCTACAGTAAATGGAAAAACGCAGTTTTGAATCCTTTTAAGTCTTTTCTTGCCAAAAAAAAGTCAACCCTAGGATTTTGTCGACTTTTAAAAAATCCTTCTCTCAAAAAATGGGAAAAACACCGAGGTCACACATTATCCACTCGCTAGGAAGCGAATATTGTTGAATAAACGGAGATAGCGAGCCAATCAGATTGCTTAAATCACCAAGATCACTGAGTGTCTATATACTAATCAGTTTTATCCCAAGCTAACCTTAGCAGCAGCCAGTTTTGCAAAGCAAGCAAGTAAAAAGAAGTCTTTGGAATTAAAACCCTTGTGAACATTTTTTGTCCTAAAATATAATTCTAAAAGTCTATCAAAGGGCAATGTAACACGATTGGCCGCGTCGAATAAAAGAATTTTTTAGTCAGCATATACCAATGGCAGTAGCAAAATGCAAATCGGCAGGATGTTCTAATGCCTTGCTTCATTTGGAATGTAAACTACTTCTCGGTGAGCCGTAAATTGAATTTAAGAAGTTACGGGAGGAATCGTGAATACAATTTTGTAGTGGGCGTTTCTGTCGAGGTACATGCGATTCGCTTTTAAGATCAATGTGGTTAACATAAGATCCTCTCTGTTTCGAGAATTCTGTTTTATACTTATCTCTAAATTACTTATTGGACCTTTCGACTTCTAAGGGAGGAGTTTCAGACAATTTGCCAAGAGGGGACCTTGTCGGTCTATACTACATGCTCCAACAAAGATCCCGCCGGGAGAAAAGTAAAACCAAACCTGAGGCGATAGCCATTGAATCTCCGCCAATTGCTAGCCTGAAAGCGAGGCTAACACAGTAGAGATGCGCCACGGTTATCATGTCCTCTGGGTCTGAGTAAAGTGACGAGTCGTTGCACCTGAGGGGTGGGGAGAGCGGGGAAGATGAATCTATCTGACTACGGCTATGACAATCTATCTGAATATAGAGACGGGCCCTAGCACTTGAGTCTAGAGCAGAGGGGATATTTGCTAATTAAACCTAGTCCGCTGTAGCCGAGGAGATCATGGTGGGCCGTAGTCACAAGTGAAGTACATAACTCTTTAGTTGTATTTTACATGCTAACTACGATAGTGTTTGAAACAGAATTACTCGAAATACGCAGATATTTTCTTTTTTGTCATCCTTGACAACTTCTGAGGGCTTATTTCTCGGAAATTATGTTCTTTAAATTCGGTGTCAGGCACTACACCCAAGTGAAAAATACAGCCAAATACAACAAATAAAGTTGATGGGAAAGAGGATAACATTTTGCCAAGTGATGTAAATAGCCGGGAGTTGATAAAACACAGGCAAAGGTTGAAAAGTTAGCACATGCATCACACTTGTTTTTTGTACAATTCTTTGCCGTAGGGGGTCACTGCACGACTTCAGCTTCAGGAGACGGTTCGCATACATTTGAGTAAGAGAGCTGGAATAATCGCAATAAAGACCTAGAAAAGAATTCAAATTCACTTTTTAAGCGACGTTTTCAATGCTGTCCCCGCCGTATCTTAAAACTTCCTATTTGAGGCATGTTTGACGGCCTGGCAGGAAAAGAATCACTTCCCGTCACCGAACTAGATACTTCCGTAGTGTTTGCTTAAAGTCCCTATTATCAATTCTCATTACGGTTTGCTTGATTCTTGCGATGTCCCCTTCTGTGACAATGGCTATTCTTGACCAATTCTTTCTTTTGCAAACACTCACAATCATTAGTGCCGTGATTTGTCTAATGAAGAGGCGTCATGGTCCGTGGCAAATAGGCTCAATTATAAATATACCCCCAAAAAAGATGACGCGGCCTTTGAAAACTTTATTGTAAAAAACGATGGCTTTATGTCACGTTATGTCATGTCATGAAATAATAAAAATAACGTACGTTGCTAGGGTAAATTTCTGTTACAATTAGCCATAGATTACTCTACGTCCTCGCAGGATATTGAAAGAAGTTATCTTCTGATTAAGACATATACGTATAAACACAAGAGCCATTTTTA